GATAGATTCTGAAGGGAAGAAATTGGCTTTATTTAGTGTAGATTCGGAGAAAGTAGCGGCTGTTAATTCTTTAAGTCTTCGATATCAAGTTGGCAGTGAAGATATTTTGGGGAGAAAAAACAAAATGGCTGCCTTTATACACGTCGCATTGAATATTTTGAGCTTTCTGATTGGTTAACTCTTCTATTGGTGAACTATAAAATGAGTGAGCTCATTTTGACTAGCTCACTAGTACACAGATATATCCCAAAAACTGTAACAACCGGACCATATGTGGCAGCAATATTCTAAGCATGGAGGAATGGTAGACATATAGATATGCAAGATAGATTCTGGAGGGAAAAAAATTGGCTTTATTTAAATGTAAACAGGTCCTCTATTGGAGGAGATTTCTAATTGCGCGCCATACTGCTACCGCATGCGATAAGCAACAATAAACTACTGATCGCAGTTTTTTAGAATTGCATTAAGATTTAAATGTACCTTTAAAAAGGACCAAGCAAAATTGAAAGGTGACTTTTAACACGGGCCTCCCTCTGATTCTTGAAATAGACATATCTATTCAGTTTCATATGCTAACGTAAACAAATATTCAAACAAAAAAATATATGCGTTTTTATTAACCCTACAGATTTTTATTACTTAAACGTTGTGTTCAGTGGATACCCGCATTTGAGTAGACGCTCCGTTTAATTATTCAACAGTATATTTATTCATTTTCAACTAGAGGGCTGAATATTCGAGAAATTTTATTAGAGAACCATATGTGCGCTCCGGCAGAATTCGAACCTGCGTTCTCCTAGGGTAAACCCTTATAGGTCTGACGTCCTTTGAACCACTCGGCTACAGAGCGTTTACAGACACATTAATGCGATCTGAATGAAAGTGTTAACACAGGAACGTGACTGCTTTCTGGTCATGGAGTGAACTGCTGAAGTGGATGAAAGAACGTATGTCTTCCCCTACCACTCTACATCCATTTCGTCGATAGCAGACGTGAAATCAATTACTCTTTCGTTTACCCAGACTTCGATTAGGGGCGAATTTATCGACATCTCCATAGAACATCCCACGTGATGACCACACATATTTTCTTTGTCTTTCTTTATTTTTCCTAACGCGGAAATAATTTATAGTATCAATAGTGATTATCTCCCTTTGCCTCAGTTAGAAACTGACCGGAATGCCTCCACTTCAAGCTATATAATAAAGACACAGGGAGATTAGCTGATAGATAGATAGATAGATAGATAGATAGATAGATAGATAGATAGATAGATAGATGAGAATAGACTTAGATAGATAGATAGATAGATAGATAGATAGATAGATAGATAGATAGATAGATAGATAGATAGATAGATGAGAATAGATAGATAGATAGATAGATAGATAGATAGATAGATAGATAGATGAGAATAGATGAGATAGATAGATAGATAGATAGATAGATAGATGAGAATAGACTTAGATAGATAGATAGATAGATAGATAGATAGATAGATGAGAATAGACTTAGATAGATAGATAGATAGATAGATAGATAGATGAGAATAGACTTAGATAGATAGATAGATAGATAGATAGATAGATAGATAGATAGATAGATAGATGAGAATAGACTTAGATAGATAGATAGATAGATAGATAGATGAGAATAGACTTAGATAGATAGATGAAAATAGACTGAGGTAGGTAGATAGATAGATAGACTGATAGATAGATTTGTAAAGTTAAAATACATAGAAATTCATTAATATATACATATTCATTCATCTATATATATAAACCGCGCGTAACAGCAAAATTATCCAAATCGTGTAACAGCATCCCACAAACTGTTTAATATCTCCAAAACCACTAACCCAATTGTCTTTTTACAGATTTTCAGATAAGACGTTTAGCCATCTTGAAATCATTTGTCGTAAAATTCTCGGAAAAATTATTCAGCTAGATAAAGAACAGATTAAAATCGTTTAGTGCCAGACTCACTATATCTTCTTTACTGAGCAATGGTAAGAGGAAAAAGATTATTCAGGCCTTCAGTAATTGTACCAGTATTCATATTCTGGCTTCCATCTTCAACGTTCATTAAAAAACGAACGGTGAATAGGTTTTTAAAAAAGTGAACAGCAGAGAGGAAACCTCTATTAGAACGTGACAACTGGAAGAGGGATCATCATTTCAATTTAGAGCTAAATGCATTGTTCAAAGTATAGTCCAATAATGTTATAAAACCTCGGATAATTCCAGTAAGATATATTTAATCATTTCTAAGATACATCGGTTCAAAGCTTAATCGAACAATTGGCCAATTTTGCTGTTACACGATTTGGAAAATTTTGCTGTTACATCATACTTATTATGTGTGTGTGTGTACGTGTACGTTTATATATTGGATCGGATTTCCTACATTTTTCAACCGATTTCAACAAAATTACCTTGCGGTGGTTCTGACAGCACCAAAAATTGGAAAAGCACAATTGTTTTTGCACGAAATCAATTTGAAAACACGATTAAGAGGCATCACGAGAATGAAAGGGGGACAACTCATATCGAGTTATACTTATTATAAAAACCCAGATTGTTTGTGTGTGTGTGTATGTGTGTACAATAGACTAACCTCTTTTCCTATATCTCTTTATACTATCTTCTAGTTAAATAAGACAAAAAAATGTAAACGAGAATGATGAAAGTCTCGTTAGTAACGCTATTCTCGCTGCTTAAACGCGTACAGCCATAAATAACCGAACCTCATTTAAACGTAAACAATGAAAAAGATGCATATATTCTGTGTTTGTATTTTATAATACGATACTAATATGTGAATATTACATGCATTATTATTGGATACAGTTAAGGAAGACATCAGTTTGATCAAAATCATGTTTATTTTAAATACAACTTTTGACGACAGTAAATTGATATATAGTTAACGGCGTAGCCAGGGCTAACAGTATATACGCTAGTTTTATATATCGTGTATGCGACCCTCTTAAAATTAGCTTCAAAATTAAATCTCCAAAAGTCGCATGACACGTGAGTATATACGGTATATATAACAAATTTAGTCCACTCTGTCATAGAATTTTCCCAATACTGTTTTGATATATAAAAACATATATCGTTATATTATATATATGTATATATATGTGTGTGTGTCTGTGTTAGGTAGATCTAATACACACTAACAAAGAGGAAAATGACATCTACTGAAACACGTGAATTACCTAAAATATAATGTTTAAAGTTATAATAATAACAATAATATATATATAGATAGATATTAACAGATGGCTATTTTTGTTGTGAGTTTATAACATATTTATGTTATAATTTTCGAATAAATAATTATATTTCCTCTACTCTGTATCGATCACTCTTTTAAGAGTAGTATTTGTTGGTAATTGGAATTTATTCCGTATACACCAATCCTATATATATATATATATATATATATATATATATATATATATATATATATATAAATATATTATTGTTAACATTATTACTTTAAACGTATATATATATATATATATATATATATATATATATATATATATATATATATGTAATAGTAATAATAATAACAATAAAATATATGTTATATACCTATATATTATTGTTATTATTATTACTCTAAACGTTATAGTTTAATAAATGCACGTGTTTCACTAGACGCCTTGTTCCTGTTTTGTGCGTGTGTGTGTGTGTGCGTGTGTTAATTACATACACCGAACTACCTATACATACACGAGTCTTAATAGAGAGAATATGCCCACCGACAAAGTCCTAATCTTTGTCCTCCTTTGAAACCTATCGGAGTTTACATTTTCTTTTCAATAAGTGTACATAGCTTTGCCTATCGCCCGGTTCACACTCCTCGCCTGTATTTTGAACAGCAGTTGAGGTTTATACCTTATTTTCTGTTTAGATTTCCGGTTCCTTCTAACGTATTCTGATTCTCTTTCATTCCTAGCAGCCCTTGGCGCCATTGTGGCATTATTGTCTTGGGGTGAATTGAGTTTTTTAAAAATTGGATGGACAAATTGGAATCATTGCTTAAAAAAATATATCTACTAAAATACTACGTTTAAAGTAATAAGAATTAATGTCGAATTAAAAAATAAAAATCATTCCTTAGAATTTGTTTCTGCGCATGCGCATAGTAGATCGGTACTAAAATAACTAATATAAATTTATAGCATCGCTAATCGACCATTACTACTTTTCATTAGGTCGACCATCTCTAATCGCTTCATCAGATTATAGACTTCAAAATGGATGCCATGTATGGCGCCAAACCCGTTCAGCTATTTCTAAACTGTCAGTTGTATAAAACCGCTTCCTAAGATCAATGGTTCAAAAGGCTTTTGAGCGAGTGAGGGCACAGGGTCTTGGCAAAGATCATCCAACTTTGAAGATTCTGCGATGGCGTTACAGAATCACAAATAAAGAACTGTATCAAATAACAGAAACCCCATAACTTGAGGACTACCAACAACAGCAACAACTAAAATGAATAGCACGTGGAACAAGAAGAGAAAATAATGACATAATCAAGATGTTAACATATCACACTACTTTAAATAAGATTAAAGAGAGAGCGATAACAGGTACTGAACTTGAAAAACCTATTTTCCTGACTAATTCTTGTAAGAGGTAAATTTTATAAATCTCAATCGAAAACGGTCTTCGGTCAATGAATGTCAAATGTTTAAGGGAACGGCTAATATTACCATTACGATTACAGATGAGCAGAACATATACTACACTTTGATCCAAGCCCGATATCCAGGGAGTGAAGAAAAACGTAACTCAAGTAGCATTGTCTGCTCGGTCAATGAATGCCGAATGTTTCCTTATAAGGGAACGGCTGATATTACCATTACGATTAGAGATGAGGAGAACAGATCCTACACTTTGATCCCATCCTTGTAGAGAAACGTCTCATATTACAATTATTATTACCAAAGTTAAGCTGCATCGCTACTGGAAAAATGATAACCTGTTTCTGTGACAAAAGAAAAATAATTTAATATTTCGATTTTATAAATCCCGACCAATTCCCTTTTCATTTTTTCCATTTTCTAGCTAGCTCAATCCTTTTTCATGTATCTATCTTTTCATTTTCAAAGTCAATCCTTTTCTTGTGTCTATCGTTATATCTGACTCTCTCTCAGTCTGTCTATCGATCAATCTATTTGCGTCTTTTTCATATCTATCTATCTATCTATCTATCTATCTATCTATCTATCTCCCTTTTCATTTTCCAATCTAGCTAGCTCAATCCTTTTTCATGTATCTATCGTTATATCTGTCTCTCTCTCAGTCTGTCTATCGATCAATCTATTTGCGTCTTTTTCATATCTATCTATCTATCTATCTATCTATCTATCTATCTATCTATCTATTTCCTTTTCCAATCTAGCTAGCTCAATCCTTTTCATGTATCTATCGTTATATCTGACTCTCTCTCAGTCTGTCTATCGATCAATCTATTTGCGTCTTTTCATATCTATCTATCTATCTATCTATCTATCTATCTATCTTTCATTATCTATCTATCTATCAATCCTTTTCATTTTCTATCAATCTAGCTGACTCTCTCTCAATCCTTTTCATGTATCTATCGTCTTTTTATATCTATCTCTCTCTCAGTCTATCTATCTATCAATCTATTTCCAATCTATCAATCCTTTTTCATATCTATCTGTCTATCTAATCTATTCAATCTTTTTCATGTATCTATCTTTATTCACTCTCTCTCTCAGTCTATCTATATCTATCTATCTCTTTTCTATCTATCTATCTATCTATCTATCTATCTATCTCCTTTTCATTTTCCAATCTAGCTAGCTCAATCCTTTTCATGTATCTATCGTTATATCTGACTCTCTCTCAGTCTGTCTATCGATCAATCTATTTGCGTCTTTTTTTCTATCTATCTATCTATCTATCTATCTATCTATCTATCTATCTATCTATCTCCCTTTTCATTTTCCAATCTAGCTAGCTCAATCCTTTTTCATGTATCTATCGTTATATCTGACTCTCTCTCAGTCTGTCTATCGATCAATCTATTTATCGTCTTTATCTATCTATCTATCTATCTATCTATCTATCTATCTATCCTTTTCTTTTTTTCCAATCTAGCTAGCTCAATCCTTTTCATGTATCTATCGTTATATCTGACTCTCTCTCAGTCTGTCTATCGATCAATCTATTTGCGTCTTTTTCTATTTATCTATCTATATCTATCTATCTATCTATCTATCTATCTCCTTTTCATTTTCCAATCTAGCTAGCTCAATCCTTTTCATGTATCTATCGTTATATCTGACTCTCTCTCAGTCTGTCTATCGATCAATCTATTTGCGTCTTTTCATATCTATCTATCTATCTATCTATCTATCTATCTATCTATCTATCTATCTATCTATCTCCCTTTCATTTTCCAATCTAGCTAGCTCAATCCTTTTCATGTATCTATCGTTATATCTGACTCTCTCTCAGTCTGTCTATCGATCAATCTATTTGCGTCTTTTTTCTATCTATCTATCTATCTATCTATCTATCTATCTATCTATCTATCTATCTATCTCCTTTTCATTTTCCAATCTAGCTAGCTCAATCCTTTTCATGTATCTATCGTTATATCTGACTCTCTCTCAGTCTGTCTATCGATCAATCTATTTGCGTCTTTTTATCTATCTATCTATCTATCTATCTCCTTTTCATTTTATCTATCTATCTATCTATCTATCTATCCCTTTTCATATTTCCAATCTATCTAGCTCAATCCTTTTTTTCATGTATCTATCGTTATATCTGACTCTCTCTCAGTCTGTCTATCGATCAATCTATTTGTCTTTTCATATCTATCTATCTATCTATCTATCTATCTATCTATCTATCTATCTCCTTTTCATTTTTTAGCTCAATCCTTTTCATGTATCTATCGTTATATCTGACTCTCTCTCAGTCTGTCTCGATCAATCTATTTGCGTCTTTTTCATATCTATCTATCTATCTATCTATCTATCTATCTATCTCCTTTTCATTTTCCAATCTAGCTAGCTCAATCCTTTTTCATGTATCTATCGTTATATCTGACTCTCTCTCAGTCTGTCTATCGATCAATCTATTTGCGTCTTTTTTTCTATCTATCTATCTATCTATCTATCTATCTCTATCTATCTATCTATCTATCTCCTTTTTTTTCATTTTCAGTCAATCTAGCTAATCTCAATCGTCTTTTTTTCATCTATCTATCTATCTATCGTTATATCTTTTCATTTTCCTCTCTCTCAGTCTGTCTATCGATCTATCTATTCTCAGTCTGTTTTCATCTATCTATCTATCTATCTATCTATCTATCTATCTATCTATCTATCTCCTTTTCATTTTCCAATCTAGCTAGCTCAATCCTTTTTCATGTATCTATCGTTATATCTGACTCTCTCTCAGTCTGTCTATCGATCAATCTATTTGCGTCTTTTTTATCTATCTATCTATCTATCTATCTATCTATCTATCTATCTATCTATCTATCTATCTCCTTTTCATTTTCTCAATCTTCATGTATCTATCGTTATATCTGACTCTCTCTCAGTCTGTCTATCTCAATCCTTTTTCATGTATCTATCGTTATCTATCTCTATCTCCTTTTCATTTTCTCTCAGTCTGTCTTTCATGTATCAATCTATTTCGTCTTTTTCAGTCTGTCTATCTATCTATCTATTTGCGTCTATATCTATCTATCTATCTATCTATCTATCTATCTATCTCCTTTTCATTTTCCAATCTAGCTAGCTCAATCCTTTTTCATGTATCTATCGTTATATCTGACTCTCTCTCAGTCTGTCTATCGATCAATCTATTTGCGTCTTTTCTTATTTTTCTATCTATCTATCTATCTATCTATCTATCTCTTCCTTTTCATTTTCCAATCTAGCTAGCTCAATCTTTTTTCATGTATATCTATCGTTATATCTGACTCTCTCTCAGTCTGTCTATCGATCAATCTATCAATCTTTTCATATCTATCTATCTATTCTATCTATCTATCTATCTATCTATCTATCTATCTCCTTTTCATTTTCCAATCTAGCTAGCTCAATCCTTTTTCTATCTATCGTTATATCTCTCTCTCTCTGTCTTTTCAATCTATTTATCTATCTATCTATCTATCTATATCTATCTATCTATCTATCTATCTATCCTTTTCATTTTCCTCTAGCTCAATCCTTTTCATGTATTTCGTTATCTGACTCTCTCTCAATCTGTTTTCATGTATCTATCGTTATATCATATCTCTCTCTCTCAGTCTGTCTATCTATCAATCTATTTCCAATCTTTTTTCAATCCTTTATCTATCTATCTATCTATCTATCTATCTATCTATCTATCTATCTTTCTATCTATCTATCTATTTATCTATCTATCTATCTCAATCTTTTTTTCCAATCTAGCTATCTCAATCCTTTTTCATGTATCTATCGTTATATCTGACTCTCTCTCAGTCTGTCTATCGATCAATCTATTTGCGTCTTTTTATCTATCTATCTATCTATCTATCTATCTATCTATCTATCTATCTATCTCCCTTTTCATTTTCCAATCTAGCTAGCTCAATCCTTTTTCATGTATCTATCGTTCTATCTGACTATCTCTCAGTCTGTCTATCGATCAATCTATTTGCGTCTTTTTTTATCTATATCTATCTATCTATCTATCTATCTATCTATCTATCTATCTATCTTTTCATTTTCAGTATCGTTCGAATCTAATCTCTCTATCTTTTCATCTCAATCCTTCTTTCATGTCTATCTCATCTTTTATATCTATCTATATCTATCTATCTGTCTATCTATCTCCTTTTCATTTTCCAATCTATTCAATCCTTTTTCATGTATCTATCGTTATATCTATCTCTCTCTCAGTCTGTCTATCTCAATCTATTTGCGTCTTTTCTATATATCTATCTATCTATCTATCTATCTTTCTCATCATTTCCAATCTAGCTAGCTCAATCAATTTTTCATGTATCTATCGTTATATCTGACTCTCTCTCAGTCTGTCTATCGATCAATCTATTTGCGTCTTTTTTTATCTATCTATCTATCTATCTATCTATCTATCTATCTATCAATATCTAGCTCAATCCTTTTTCATGTATCTATCTTTTCATTTTCTATCAATCTATCTAGCTCAATCCTTTTCATGTATCTATCGTTCTATCTATCTCCCTTTTCTCTCAGTCTGTCTCAATCGATCATGTATCTATTTTATATCTTTCTTTCAGTCTGTCTATCTATCAATATCTATCTATCTATCTATCTATCTATCTATCTATCTATCTATCTATCTATCTCCTTTTCATTTTCCAATCTAGCTAGCTCAATCCTTTTTCATGTATCTATCGTTATATCTGACTCTCTCTCAGTCTGTCTATCGATCAATCTATTTGCGTCTTTTTTTTTATCTATCTATCTATCTATCTATCTATCTATCTATCTATCTATCTATCCTTTTCATTTTCCAATCTAGCTAGCTCAATCCTTTTTCATGTATTTATCGTTATATCTGACTCTCTCTCAGTCTGTCTATCGATCAATCTATTTGCGTCATTTTTTCTATCTATCTATCTATCTATCTTTCTATCTATCTATCTATCTATCTATCTATCTATCTATCTATCTCCTTTTCATTTTCCAATCTAGCTAGCTCAATCCTTTTTTTCATGTATCTATCGTTATATCTGACTCTCTCTCAGTCTGTCTATCGATCAATCTATTTGCGTCTTTTTCATATATCTATCTATCTATCTATCTATCTATCTATCTATCTATCTATCTATCTATCTATCTATCTCCTTTTTTCATTTCCAATCTAGCTAGCTCAATCCTTTTCATGTATCTATCGTTATATCTGACTCCTCTCTCAGTCTGTCTATCGTCAATCTATCTATCATCTATCTATCTATATCTATCTATCTATCTATCTATCTCCTTTTTATCTATCTATCTATCTTTTTATCTATCTATCTATCTATCTATCTATCTATCTCGTCTTTTCATATTCTATCTATCTAATCTATCCCTTTTCATTTCCAATCTAGCTAGCTCAATCCTTTTTCATGTATCTATCGTTATATCTGACTCTCTCTCAGTCTGTCTATCGATCAATCTATTTGCGTCTTTTTTTATCTATCTATCTATCTATCTATCTATCTATCTATCTATCTATCTATCTCCTTTTCATTTTCCAATCTAGCTAGCTCAATCCTTTTCATGTATCTATCGTTATATCTGACTCTCTCTCAGTCTGTCTATCGCTTTATCTATCTACGTCTTTTTTCTATCTATCTATCTATCTATCTATCTATCTATCTATCTATCTCCCTTTTCATTTTCCAATCTAGCTAGCTCAATCCTTTTTCATGTATCTATCGTTATATCTGACTCTCTCTCAGTCTGTCTATCGATCAATCTATTTGCGTCTTTTTCATATCTATCTATCTATCTATCTATCTATCTATCTATCTATCTATCTCCCTTTTCATTTTCCAATCTAGCTAGCTCAATCCTTTTTCATGTATCTATCGTTATATCTGACTCTCTCTCAGTCTGTCTATCGATCAATCTATTTGCGTCTTTTTATCTATCTATCTATCTATCTATCTATCTATCTATCTATCTATCTATCTATCTATCTCAATCCTTTTCATTTCCAATCTAGCTAGCTCAATCCTTTTCATGTATCTATCGTTATATCTGACTCTCTCTCAGTCTGTCTATCGATCAATCTATTTGCGTCTTTTTCATATCTATCTATCTATATCTATCTATCTATATCTATCTATCTATCTATCTCTATCTATCTCTTTTCAATCTAGCTAGCTCAATCCTTTTTCATGTATCTATCGTTATATCTGACTCTCTCTCAGTCTGTCTATCGATCAATCTATTTGCGTCTTTTTCATATCTATCTATCTATCTATCTATCTATCTATCTATCTATCTCCCTTTTCATTTTCCAATCTAGCTAGCTCAATCCTTTTTCATGTATCTATCGTTATATCTGACTCTCTCTCAGTCTGTCTATCGATCAATCTATTTGCGTCTTTTTATCTATCTATCTATCTATCTATCTATCTATCTATCTATCTATCTATCTCCTTTTCATTTTCCAATCTAGCTAGCTCAATCCTTTTTCATGTATCTATCGTTATATCTGACTCTCTCTCAGTCTGTCTATCGATCAATCTATTTGCGTCTTTTCATATTTCTATCTATCTATCTATCTATCTATCTATCTATCTATCTATCTATCTATCTATTTTCATTTTCCAATCTATGCGTCTTTTCTATTTTCTATCTATCTAGCTCAATCCTTTTCATGTATCTATCGTTATATCTGACTCTCTCTCAGTCTGTCTATCGATCAATCTATTTGCGTCTTTTCATTTCTATCTATCTATCTATCTATCTATCTATCTATCTATCTATCTCTCCTTTTCATTTTCCAATCTAGCTAGCTCAATCCTTTTCATGTATCTATCGTTATATCTGACTCTCTCTCAGTCTGTCTATCGATCAATCTATTTGCGTCTTTTTTTTTATCTATCTATCTATCTATCTATCTATCTATCTCTTTCTATCTATCTATCTATCTCCTTTTTCATGTTTTCGTTTTTCCAATCTAGTCTGTCTATCAATCAATCTATTTTCTTTTTTTGTATCTATCTATTATATCTATCTCTCTCTCAGTCTGTCTATCGATCAATCTATCTATCGTTATATTTCTCTCAGTCTATCTATCTCAATCTATCTATTTATCTATCTATCTATCTATCTATCTATCTATCTCCTTTTCATTTTCCAATCTAGCTAGCTCAATCCTTTTTCATGTATCTATCGTTATATCTGACTCTCTCTCAGTCTGTCTATCGATCAATCTATCTTTTTCATATTATCATATCTATCTATCTATCTATCTATCTATCTATCTATCTATCTATCTATCTATCTATCTCCCTTTTCATTTTCCAATCTAGCTAGCTCAATCCTTTTTCATGTATCTATCGTTATATCTGACTCTCTCTCAGTCTGTCTATCGATCAATCTATTTGCGTCTTTTTCATATCTATCTATCTATCTATCTATCTATCTATCTATCTATCTATCTATCTATCTATCTATCTCCCTTTTCATTTTCCAATCTAGCTAGCTCAATCCTTTTTCATGTATCTATCGTTATATCTGACTCTCTCTCAGTCTGTCTATCGATCAATCTATTTGCGTCTTTTCATATCTATCTATATCTATCTATCTATCTATCTATCTATCTATCTATCTATCTCGTTTTTCATTTTCCAATCTGTCTAGCTCAATCTATTTTTTGTATCTATCTATCGTTATCTATCTCTCTCTCAGTCTGTCTATCGATCAATCTATTTGCGTCTTTTTTTCTATCTATCTATCTATCTATCTATCTATCTATCTATCTATCTATCTATCTCCTTTTCATTTTCCAATCTAGCTAGCTCAATCCTTTTTCATGTATCTATCGTTATATCTGACTCTCTCTCAGTCTGTCTATCGATCAATCTATTTGCGTCTTTTTTTTCTATCTCTATCTATCTATCTATCTATCTATCTATCTTTCATTTTATCTATCTCTATCTATCTAGCTCTATCTGTTATCTATCTATCGTCTTTTTATATCTATGATCTATCTTTTCATTTTCCAATCTATCTCAATCTTTTCATATCTATCTATCTATCTATCTATCTATCTATCTATCTATCTATCTCCTTTTCATTTTCAATCTATCTATCTCAATCTTTATCATGTATCTATCGTTATATCTGACTCTCTCTCAGTCTGTCTATCGATCAATCTATTTGCGTCTTTTTTTTCTATATCTATCTATCTATCTATCTATCTATCTATCTATCTATCTATCTATCTCTCTCCTTTTCATTTTCCAATCTAGCTAGCTCAATCCTTTTTTTCATGTATCTATCGTTATATCTGACTCTCTCTCAGTCTGTCTATCGATCAATCTATTTGCGTCTTTTCATATCTATCTATCTATCTATCTATCTATCTATCTATCTATCTATCTATCTATCTCAATCCTTTTCATGTATCTATCTATCCTCTTTCATTTTCCAATCTAGCTAGCTCAATCTATTTTTCATGTATCTATCGTTATATCTATCTCTCTCTCTCAGTCTGTCTATCGATCAATCTATCTGTCTATCGTCAATCTTTTATCTATCTTTTCTATCTATCTATCTATCTATCTATCTATCTATCTATCTATCTATCTCCTTTTTTTCCAATCTAGCTAGCTCAATCCTTTTTTCATGTATCTATCGTTATATCTGACTCTCTCTCAGTCTGTCTATCGATCAATCTATTTCGTTTTTCTATCTATCTATCTATCTATCTATCTATCTATCTATCTATTTATCTATCTCCCTTTTCATTTTCCAATCTAGCTAGCTCAATCTTTTTTTCATGTATCTATCGTTATATCTGACTCTCTCTCAGTCTGTCTATCGATCAATCTATTTGCGTCTTTTCATATCTATCTATCTATCTATCTATCTATCTATCTATCTATCTATCTATCTATCTATCTCAATCCTTTTCATTTTCCAATCTAGCTAGCTCAATCCTTTTTCATGTATCTATCGTCGTATATATGACTCTCTCTCTCAGTCTGTCTATCGATCAATCTATCTATCGTCTTTTCTCTATCATCTATCTATCTATCTATCTATCTATCTATCTATCTATCTATCTATCTATCTATCTATCTCCTTTTCATTTTCCAATCTAGCTAGCTCAATCCTTTTTCATGTATCTATCGTTATATCTGACTCTCTCTCAGTCTGTCTATCGATCAATCTATTTGCGTCTTTTTCATATCTATCTATCTATCTATCTATCTATCTATCTATCTATCTATCTATCTATCTCCCTTTTCATTTTCCAATCTAGCTAGCTCAATCCTTTTTCATGTATCTATCGTTATATCTGACTCTCTCTCAGTCTGTCTATCGATCAATCTATTTGCGTCTTTTTCATATCTATCTATCTATCTATCTATCTATCTATCTATCTCCCTTTTCATTTTCCAATCTAGCTAGCTCAATCCTTTTTCATGTATCTATCGTTATATCTGACTCTCTCTCAGTCTGTCTATCGATCAATCTATCTATTTTTTTCTTTTTCTATCTATCTATCTATCTATCTATCTATCTATCTATCTATCTATCTATCTCTCCTTTTCATCTATTTTCCAATCTAGCTAGCTCAATCCTTTTTCATGTATCTATCGTTATATCTATCTATCTCTCTCTCAGTCTGTCTATCGATCAATCTATTTGCGTCTTTTTTTATCTATCTATCTCTATCTATCTATCTATCTATTTTCTATCTATCTATCTATCTTTTCATCTATCGTTATATCCTTTTCTCAGTCTGTTTCGATCAATCTAGCTGCGTCTTTTTTCAATCTATCTTTTCTATCTATCTATCGTTTTCATTTTCCAATCTCTCTCAATCCTTTTTCTGTCTATCGTTATATCTCTCTCTATTGTCGTCAATCTATTTCTTATCTATCTATCTATCTATCTATCTATCTATCTATCTATCTATCTATCTATCTATCTCCTTTTCATTTTCCAATCTAGCTAGCTCAATCTTTTTTTTCATGTATCTATCGTTATATCTGACTCTCTCTCAGTCTGTCTATCGATCAATCTATTTGCGTCTTTTTTTTATCTATCTATCTATCTATCTATCTATCTATCTATCTATCTATCTATCTATCTCCCTTTTCATTTTCCAATCTAGCTAGCTCAATCCTTTTTCATGTATCTATCGTTATATCTGACTCTCTCTCAGTCTGTCTATCGATCAATCTATTTGCGTCTTTTTATCTATCTATCTATCTATCTATCTATCTATCTATCTATATCTATCTATCTTTTCATATTATCTATCTCCTTTTCATTTTCCAATCTAGCTAGCTCAATCCTTTTTCATGTATCTATCGTTATATCTGACTCTCTCTCAGTCTGTCTATCGATCAATCTATTGCGTCTTTTTTTCTATCTATCTATCTATCTATCTATCTATCTATCTATCTATCTATCTATCTATCTATCTCCTTTTTCATATTTCCAATCTAGTCTGTCTCATCAATCCTTTTCATGTATCTATCGTTATATCTGACTCTCTCTCAGTCTGTCTATCGATCTATCTACTCTCTTCAGTCTGTCTTTTCTATCTATCTATCTTTTTCTATCTATCTATCTATCTATCTATCTATCTATCTCCTTTTCATTTTCCAATCTAGCTAGCTCAATCCTTTTTTTCATGTATCTATCGTTATATCTGACTCTCTCTCAGTCTGTCTATCGATCAATCTATTTGCGTTTTTTCATCTATCTATCTATCTATCTATCTATCTATCTATCTATCTATCTATCTATCTCCTTTTCATTTTCCAATCTAGCTAGCTCAATCCTTTTTCATGTATCTATCGTTATATCTGACTCTCTCTCAGTCTGTCTATCGATCAATCTATTTGCTCTCTCTTTTCATATTTTCTATCTATCTATCTATCTATCTATCTATCTATCTATCTATCTATCTATCTCCGTTTTTCATTTTCCAATCTATCTAGCTCAATCCTATTTTTCATGTATCTATCGTTATATCTATCTCCTCTCTCTCAGTCTGTCTATCATGTATCTATCTATTTGACTCTCTCTTTTTTATCATATCTATCTATCTATCTATCTATCTATCTATCTATCTATCTATCTATCTATCTCCTTTTCATTTTCCAATCTAGCTAGCTCAATCCTTTTCATGTATCTATCGTTATATCTGACTCTCTCTCAGTCTGTCTATCGATTTATCTATATGCGTCTTTTTCTATCTATCTATCTATCTATCTATCTATCTATCTATCTATCTATCTTTTTATTTTCCAATCTAGAGAGCTCAATGCTTTCTCATGTATCTATCGATATATCTGACTCTCTCAGTCTGTCTATCGCTTTATCTATCTACGTCTTTTTTCTATCTATCTATCTATCTATCTATCTATCTATCTATCTATCTATCTATCTATCTCCTTTTCATTTTCCAATCTAGCTAGCTCAATCCTTTTTCATGTATCTATCGTTATATCTGACTCTCTCTCAGTCTGTCTATCGATCTATCTATTTGCGTCTTTTTCATATCTATCTATCTATCTATCTATCTATCTATCTATCTCACTTTTCAATTTCCAATCTATCTAGCTCAATCCTTTTCATGTATCTATCTATCTCAGTCTGTCTATCGATCAATCTATTTGCGTCTTTTCTATCTATCTATCTATCTATCTATCTATCTATCTATCTCTCTCTCCTTTTCATTTTCCAATCTAGCTAGCTCAATCCTTTTTCATGTATCTATCGTTATATCTGACTCTCTCTCAGTCTGTCTATCGATCAATCTATTTGCTTCTTTTTCATATCTATCTATCTATCTATCTATCTATCTATCTATCTATCTCCTTTTCATTTTCCAATCTAGCTAGCTCAATCCTTTTTCATGTATCTATCGTTATATCTGACTCTCTCTCAGTCTGTCTATCGATCAATCTATTTGCGTCTTTTTCATATCTATCTATCTATCTATCTATCTATCTATCTATCTATCTATCTATCTTTTCCTTTTCATTTCCAATCTAGCTAGCTCAATCCTTTTTCATGTATCTATCGTTATATCTGACTCTCTCTCAGTCTGTCTATCGATCAATCTATTTGCGTCTTTTTCATATCTATCTATCTATCTATCTATCTATCTCCCTTTTCATTTTCCAATCTAGCTAGCTCAATCCTTTTCATGTATCTATCGTTATATCTGACTCTCTCTCAGTCTGTCTATCGATCAATCTATTTGCGTCTTTTTCATATCTATCTATCTATCTATCTATCTATCTATCTATCTATCTATCTATCTATCTATCTATCTATCTCCCTTTTCATTTTCCAATCTAGCTAGCTCAATCCTTTTTCATGTATCTATCGTTATATCTGACTCTCTCTCAGTCTGTCTATCGATCAATCTATTTTGCGTCTTTTTTCATCTATCTATCTATCTATCTATCTATCTATCTATCTATCTATCTCCCTTTTTTTTCCAATCTAGCTAGCTCAATCCTTTTCATGTATCTATCGTTATATCTGACTCTCTCTCAGTCTGTCTATCGATCAATCTATTTATCTATTTTATCTTCTATCTATTATCTATCTATCTATCTATCTATCTATCTATCTATCTATCTATCTATCTATCCTTTTCATTTTCCAATCTAGCTAGCTCAATCCTTTTTCATGTATCTATCGTTATATCTGATCGTTATATCTCTCTCTCAGTCTGTCTATCGATCAAATCTATTTGCGTCTTTTTTTCTATCTATCTATTATCTATCTATCTATCTATCTATCTATCTATCTATCTATCTCCTTTTCATTTTCCAATCTAGCTAGCTCAATCCTTTTTCATGTATCTATCGTTATATCTGACTCTCTCTCAGTCTGTCTATCGATCAATCTATTTGCGTCTTTTTTTATCTATCTATCTATCTATCTATCTATCTATCTATCTATCTATCTATCTATCTATCTATCTCCCTTTTCATTTTCCAATCTAGCTAGCTCAATCCTTTTTCATGTATCTATCGTTATATCTGACTCTCTCTCAGTCTGTCTATCGATCAATCTATTTGCGTCTTTTTCTTATCTATCTATCTATCTATCTATCTATCTATCTATCTATCTATCTATATCTCTCCTTTTCATTTTCAATCTAGCTAGCTCAATCCTTTTCATGTATCTATCGTTATATCTGACTCTCTCTCTAGTCTGTCTATCGATCAATCTATTTCGTCTTTTTTCATATCTATCTATCTATCTATCTCTATCTATCTCTATCTATCTCTATCTATCTATCTCCTTTTCATTTTCCAATCTAGCTAGCTCAATCCTTTTTCATGTATCTATCGTTATATCTGACTCTCTCTCAGTCTGTCTATCGATCAATCTATTTGCGTCTTTTTCATATCTATCTATCTATCTATCTATCTATCTATCTATCTATCTTTTCATTTTCCAATCTAGCTAGCTCAATCCTTTTTCATGTATCTATCGTTATATCTGACTCTCTCTCAGTCTGTCTATCGATCAATCTATTTGCGTCTTTTTTTTTATCTATCTATCTATCTATCTATCTATCTATCTATCTATCTATCTATCTCCCTTTTCATTTTCCAATCTAGCTTGCTCAATCCTTTTTCATGTATCTATCGTTATATCTGACTCTCTCTCAGTCTGTCTATCGATCAATCTATTCTCGTCTTTTTTATCTATCTCTATCTATCTATCTATCTATCTATCTATCCTTTTCATTTTCCAATCTTCTAGCTCAATCCTTTTCATGTATCTATCGTTATATCTATCTCTCTCTCAGTCTGTCTATCTATCAATCTATTTGCGTCTTTTTCTATCTATCTATCTATCTATCTATCTATCTATCTATCTATCTCCTTTTCATTTTCCAATCTAGCTAGCTCAATTTTTCATGTATCTATCGTTATATCTGACTCTCTCTCAGTCTGTCTATCGATCAATCTATTTGCGTCTTTTTTCTATCTATCTATCTATCTATCTATCTATCTATCTATCTATCTATCTCCTTTTCATTTTCCAATCTAGCTAGCTCAATCCTTTTCATGTATCTATCGTTATATCTGACTCTCTCTCAGTCTGTCTATCGATCAATCTATTTGCGTCTTTTTATCTATCTATCTATCTATCTATCTATCTATCTATCTATCTATCTATCTATCTCTCTTTCTTTCATTTTCCAATCTCTATCTCAATCCTTTTTCATGTATGTATCTATCGTTCTCTATCTGACTCTCTCTCAGTCTGTCTATCGATCAATCTATTTCGTCTTTCTATCTATCTATCTATCTATCTATCTATCTATCTATCTATCTATCTATCTATCTCCTTTTCATTTTCCAATCTAGCTAGCTCAATCCTTTTTCATGTATCTATCGTTATATCTGACTCTCTCTCAGTCTGTCTATCGATCAATCTATTTGCGTCTTTTTTTCTATCTATCTATCTATCTATCTATCTATCTATCTATATCTATCTATCCTTTTCATTTTCCAATCTAGCTAGCTCAATCTTTTTTTCATGTATCTATCGTTATATCTGACTCTCTCTCAGTCTGTCTATCGATCAATCTATTTTTCTTTTTTTCTATATCTATCTATCTATCTATCTATCTATCTATCTATCTATCCTTTTCATTTTCCAATCTAGCTAGCTCAATCCTTTTTCATGTATCTATCGTTATATCTGACTCTCTCTCAGTCTGTCTATCAATCTATCTATTTATCTATCTATCTATCTATCTATCTATCTATCTATCTATCTCCCTTTTCATTTTCCAATCTAGCTAGCTCAATCCTTTTCATGTATCTATCGTTATATCTGACTCTCTCTCAGTCTGTCTATCGATCAATCTATTTGCGTCTTTTTTTATCTTCTATCTATCTATCTATCTATCTATCTATCTATCTATCTATCTATCTATCTCCTTTTCATTTTCCAATCTAGCTAGCTCAATCATTTTTCATGTATCTATCGTTATATCTGACTCTCTCTCAGTCTGTCTATCGATCAATCTATTTGCGTCTTTTTCATATCTATCTATCTATCTATCTATCTATCTATCTATCTATCTATCTCCCTTTTCATTTTCCAATCTAGCTAGCTCAATCCTTTTTCATGTATCTATCGTTATATCTGACTCTCTCTCAGTCTGTCTATCGATCAATCTATTTGCGTCTTTTTCATATCTATCTATCTATCTATCTATCTATCTATCTATCTATCTATCTATCTATCTATCTATCTATCTATCTATCTCCCTTTTCATTTTCCAATCTAGCTAGCTCAAATCCTTTTCATGTATCTATCGTTATATCTGATCTCTCTCTCAGTCTGTCTATCTATCAATCCTTTTTCTATCTATCGTCTTTTTTCTCTCAGTCTGTCTATCTATCTATCTATTTATCTATCTATCTATCTATCTATCTATCTATCTATCTCCTTTTCATTTTCCAATCTAGCTAGCTCAATCCTTTTTCATGTATCTATCGTTATATCTGACTCTCTCTCAGTCTGTCTATCGATCAATCTATTTGCGTCTTTTTCATATCTATCTATCTATCTATCTATCTATCTATCTATCTATCTCCCTTTTCATTTTCCAATCTAGCTAGCTCAATCCTTTTCATGTATCTATCGTTATATCTGACTCTCTCTCAGTCTGTCTATCGATCAATCTATTTGCGTCTTTTTCATATCTATCTATCTATCTATCTATCTATCTATCTATCTATCTATCTCCCTTTTCATTTTCCAATCTAGCTAGCTCAATCCTTTTTCATGTATCTATCGTTATATCTGACTCTCTCTCAGTCTGTCTATCGATCAATCTATTTGCGTCTTTTTTTCTATCTATCTATCTATCTATCTATCTATCTATCTATCTATCTATCTATCTCCCTTTTCATTTTCCAATCTAGCTAGCTCAATCCTTTTTCATGTATCTATCGTTATATCTGACTCTCTCTCAGTCTGTCTATCGATCTATCTATTTGCGTCTTTTTTCATATCTATCTATCTATCTATCTATCTCCTTTTCATTTTCCAATCTAGCTTGCTCAATCCTTTTTCATGTATCTATCGTTATATCTGACTCTCTCTCAGTCTGTCTATCGATCAATCTATTTGCGTCTTTTTTATCTATCTATTATCTATCTATCTATCTATCTATCTATCTATCTATCTATCTCTCCTTTTCATTTTCCAATCTAGCTAGCTCAATCCTTTTTTCATGTATCTATCGTTATATCTGACTCTCTCTCTCAGTCTGTCTATCGATCAATCTATTTGCGTCTGTTTTTCAATCTATCTATCTATCTATCTATCTATCTATCTATCTATCTATCTATCTATCTATCTATCTATCTCACTTTTCATTTTCCAATCTAGCTTGCTCAATCCTTTTTCATGTATCTATCGTTATATCTGACTCTCTCTCAGTCTGTCTATCGATCAATCTATTTGCGTCTTTTTATCTATATATCTATCTATCTATCTATCTATCTATCTATCTATCTATCTTTTCATTTCCAATCTATCTAGCTCAATCCTTTTTCATCTTTCCAATCTAGTCTGTCTAGATCAATCAATCTTTTTTCTATCTATCTATCGTTATCTATCTATCTATCTCTCTCTCAGTCATTGTCAATCGATCAATCTTTTCATGTATCTATCGTTATATTTCTCTCTCTAGTCTATCTATCGATCAATCTATCTTTCATATCTATCTATCTATCTATCTATCTATCTATCTTTTCATTTTCCAATCTAGCTAGCTCAATCCTTTTTCATGTATCTATCGTTATATCTGACTCTCTCTCAGTCTGTCTATCGATCAATCTATTTGCGTCTTTTTCATATCTATCTATCTATCTATCTATCTATCTATCTATCTATCTATCTATCTATCTATCTATCTATCTCCCTTTTCATTTTCCAATCTAGCTAGCTCAATCCTTTTTCATGTATCTATCGTTATATCTGACTCTCTCTCAGTCTGTCTATCGATCAATCTATTTGCGTCTTTTTCATATCTATCTATCTATCTATCTATCTATCTATCTATCTATCTATCTATCTCCCTTTTCATTTTCCAATCTAGCTAGCTCAATCCTTTTTCATGTATCTATCGTTATATCTGACTCTCTCTCAGTCTGTCTATCGATCAATCTATTTGCGTCTTTTTCATATCTATCTATCTATCTATCTATCTATCTATCTATCTATCTATCTATCTTTTCATTTTCCAATCTAGCTAGCTCAATCCTTTTTCATGTATCTATCGTTATATCTGACTCTCTCTCAGTCTGTCTATCGATCAATCTATTTAGCTAGCTCGTCTTTTTCATGTATCTTTATATATCTATCTATCTATCTATCTATCTATCTATCTATCTATCTATCTATCTATCTTTTCTATCTATCTATCTATCTATCTATCTCTACTTTTCATGTATCTATCGTTATATCTCTCTCTCTCAGTCTGTCTATCATCAATCTATTTGCGTCAATTTTCATATTTCTATCTATCTATCTATCTATCTATCTATCTATCTATCTATCTCTCATTTTTCATTTCCAATCTAGCTAGCTCAATCCTTTTTCATGTATCTATCGTTATATCTGACTCTCTCTCAGTCTGTCTATCGATCAATCTATTTCGTCTTTTTTATCTATCTATCTATCTATCTATCTATCTATCTATCTATCTATCTATCTCCCTTTTCATTTTCCAATCTAGCTAGCTCAATCCTTTTTCATGTATCTATCGTTATATCTCTCTCTCTCTCGATCAATCAGTCTGTCTATCTATCTATCAATCTATTTGCGTCTTTTTTTTATCTATCTATCTTTTATCTATCTATCTATCTATCTATCTATCTATCTATCTATCTATCTCCTCTTTCATTTTCCAATCTAGCTAGCTCAATCCTTTTTTCATGTATCTATCGTTATATCTGACTCTCTCTCAGTCTGTCTATCGATCAATCTATTTGCGTCTTTTCATATCTATCTATCTATCTATCTATCTATCTATCTATCTATCTATCTATCTATCTCTCTTTTTTTTCTAGCTAGCTCAATCCTTTTTCATGTATCTATCGTTATATCTGACTCTCTCAGTCTGTCTATCGATCAATCTATTTGCGTCTTTTTCATATCTATCTATCTATCTATCTATCTATCTATCTATCTATCTATCTCCCTTTTCATTTTCCAATCTAGCTAGCTCAATCCTTTTTCATGTATCTATCGTTATATCTGACTCTCTCTCTCAGTCTGTCTATCGATCAATCTATTTGCGTCTTTTTCATATCTATCTATCTATCTATCTATCTATCTATCTATCTATCTATCTATCTATCTCCCTTTTCATTTTCCAATCTAGCTAGCTCAATCCTTTTTCATGTATCTATCGTTATATCTGTCTCTCTCTCAGCCTATCGATCAATCTATTTGCGTCTTTTTAATATCTAACTATCTATCTATCTATCTATCTATCTATCTGTCTCCCTTGTCATTTTCCAATCTAGCTAGCTCAATCCTTTTTTTATGTATATTTCGTTATATCTGACTCTCTCTCTCTGTCTGTCTATCGATCAATCTATTTGCGTCTTTTTCATATCTATCTATCTATCTATCTATCTATCTATCTATCTATCTATCTATCTTCATTTTTCCAATCTAGCTAGCTCAATCTTTTCATGTATCTATCGTTATATCTGACTCTCTCTCAGTCTGTCTATCGATCAATCTATCTATCTATCTATCTATCTATCTATCTATCTATCTATCTATCTATCTATCTATCCTTTTCCTTTTTTTCCAATCTAGCTAGCTCAATCCTTTTTCATGTATCTATCGTTATATCTGACTCTCTCTCAGTCTGTCTATCGATCAATCTATTTGCGTCTTTTTTTTTCTATCTATCTATCTATCTATCTATCTATCTATCTATCTCCTTTTCATTTTCCAATCTATCTAGCTCAATCCTTTTCATGTATCTATTTATATCTGACTCTCTCTAGTCTGTCTAGATCAATCAATCTTTTTCATCTATCTATCTATTATCTATCTATCTCTCTCTCTCTCAGTCTGTCTTTCATTTTCAATCTATTAGCTCAATCTTTTTCATCTATCTATCTATCTACTCTCTCTCATCTATCTATCTATCTATCTATTTATCTTTTCTATATCTATCTATCTATCTATCTATCTATCTATCTATCTCTTCCTTTTTTTCCAATCTAGCTAGCTCAATCCTTTTCATGTATCTATCGTTATATCTGACTCTCTCTCAGTCTGTCTATCGATCAATCTATTTCTATCTTTTATCTATCTATCTATCTATCTATCTATCTATCTATCTATCTATCTCCTTTTCATTTTCCAATCTAGCTAGCTCAATCCTTTTTCATGTATCTATCGTTATATCTGACTCTCTCTCAGTCTGTCTATCGATCAATCTATTTGCGTCTTTTTTTATCTATCTATCTATCTATCTATCTATCTATCTATCTATCTATCTATCCTCTTTCATTTTTTTCCAATCTATCGTTAGCTCAATCCTCTTTTCATGTATCTATCGTTATATCTGATCTATCTCTCTCTCAGTCTGTCTATCGATCAATCTATTTGCGTCTTTTTTTTATCTATCTATCTATCTATCTATCTATCTATCTATCTATCTATCTATCTATCTCCTTTTCATTTTCCTTTTCTCCAATCTAGCTCAATCCTTTTTTTTCATGTATCTATCGTTATATCTGACTCTCTCTCAGTCTGTCTATCGATCAATCTATTTGCGTCTTTTTCATATCTATCTATCTATCTATCTATCTATCTATCTATCTATCTATCTATCTCCCTTTTCATTTTCCAATCTAGCTAGCTCAATCCTTTTTCATGTATCTATCGTTATATCTGACTCTCTCTCAGTCTGTCTATCGATCAATCTATTTGCGTCTTTTTTTCTATCTATCTATCTATCTATCTATCTATCTATCTATCTATCTATCTATCTCCCTTTTCATTTTCCAATCTAGCTAGCTCAATCCTTTTCATGTATCTATCGTTATATCTGACTCTCTCTCAGTCTGTCTATCGATCAATCTATTTGCGTCTTTTTCATATCTATCTATCTATCTATCTATCTATCTATCTATCTATCTATCTATCTATCTATCTCCCTTTTCATTTTCCAATCTAGCTAGCTCAATCTTTTTTTATCTATCGTTATATCTGACTCTCTCTCAGTCTGTCTATATCAATCTATCTGCGTTTTTTCTTTCTATCTATCTATCTATCTATCTATCTATCTATCTATCTATCTATCTATCTATCTCCCTTTTCATTTTCCAATCTAGCTAGCTCAATCCTTTTTCATGTATCTATCGTTATATCTGACTCTCTCTCAGTCTGTCTATCGATCAATCTATTTGCGTCTTTTTCATATCTATCTATCTATCTATCTATCTATCTATCTATCTATCTATCTATCTCCTTTTCCTTTTTTCCAATCTAGCTAGCTCAATCCTTTTTCATGTATCTATCGTTATATCTGACTCTCTCTCAGTCTGTCTATCGATCAATCTATTTGCGTCTTTTTCATATCTATCTATCTATCTATCTATCTATCTATCTATCTATCTATCTATCTATCTATCTCCCTTTTCATTTTCCAATCTAGCTAGCTCAATCCTTTTTCATGTATCTATCGTTATATCTGACTCTCTCTCAGTCTGTCTATCGATCAATCTATTTGCGTCTTTTTCTTATCTATCTATCTATCTATCTATCTATCTATCTATCTATCTATCTATCTATCTATCTCACTATTCAATTTTCCAATCTAGCTACCTCAATCCTTATTCATGTATCTATCGTTATATCTGACTCTCTCTCTCAGTCTGTCTATCGATCAATCTATTTGCGTCTTTTCTTATCTATCTATCTATCTATCTATCTATCTATCTATCTATCTATCTATCTATCTATCTATCTCTCTTTTCATTTTCCAATCTAGCTGTATCTCAATCCTCTTTTCATGTATCTATCTATCTTATATCTCCCTTTTCATTCTCTCTCAGTCTGTCTCATGTATCTATCAATCTCTTTCAGTCTGTCTTTCAATCTATATCTTTTTATCTATCTATCTATCTATCTATCTATCTATCTATCTATCTATCTATCTCCTTTTCATTTTCCAATCTAGCTAGCTCAATCCTTTTTTCATGTATCTATCGTTATATCTGACTCTCTCTCAGTCTGTCTATCGATCAATCTATTTGCGTCTTTTTCATATCTATCTATCTATCTATCTATCTATCTATCTATCTATCTATCTATCTCCCTTTTCATTTTCCAATCTAGCTAGCTCAATCCTTTTTCATGTATCTATCGTTATATCTGACTCTCTCTCAGTCTGTCTATCGATCAATCTATTTGCGTCTTTTTCATATCTATCTATCTATCTATCTATCTATCTATCTATCTATCTATCTATCTATCTCCCTTTTCATTTTCCAATCTAGCTAGCTCAATCCTTTTTCATGTATCTATCGTTATATCTGACTCTCTCTCAGTCTGTCTATCGATCAATCTATTTGCGTCTTTTTCATATCTATCTATCTATCTATCTATCTATCTATCTATCTATCTATCTATCTATCTATCTATCTATCTCCCTTTTCATTTTCCAATCTAGCTAGCTCAATCCTTTTTCATGTATCTATCGTTATATCTGACTCTCTCTCAGTCTGTCTATCGATCAATCTATTTATATCTGACTTTTTCATCTATCTCTATCTATTTATCTATCTATCTATCTATCTATCTCTATCTATCTCCTTTTCTTTTTTCCAATCTAGCTAGCTCAATCCTTTTTCATGTATCTATCGTTATATCTGACTCTCTCTCAGTCTGTCTATCGATCAATCTATTTGCGTCTTTTTCATATCTATCTATCTATCTATCTATCTATCTATCTATCTATCTATCTATCTATCTATCTCCCTTTTCATTTTCCAATCTAGCTAGCTCAATCCTTTTTCATGTATCTATCGTTATATCTGACTCTCTCTCTCTCAGTCTGTCTATCGATCAATCTATTTGCGTCTTTTTTTTCATCTATCTATCTATCTATCTATCTATCTATCTATCTATCTATCTATCTCCCTTTTCATTTTCCAATCTAGCTAGCTCAATCCTTTTTCATGTATCTATCGTTATATCTGACTCTCTCTCAGTCTGTCTATCGATCAATCTATTTGCGTCTTTTTTTTCTATCTATCTATCTATCTATCTATCTATCTATCTCTCCTTTTTTTCAATCTATAGCTCAATCTTTTTCATCTATCTATCGTTTTCATTTTCCAATCTGTCTAGCTCAATCTATTTTCATCTTTTATCTATCTATATATCTATCTATCTATCTCTCAGTCTTTCTATCTATCTATCTCCTTTTCCTTTTCAATCTTCTATCTATCGTTTATCATCGTTTCTATCTATCTATCTATCTATCTATCTATCATATATCTATCTATCTATCTATCTATCTATCTATCTCCTTTTCATTTTCCAATCTAGCTAGCTCAATCCTTTTTCATGTATCTATCGTTATATCTGACTCTCTCTCTCAGTCTGTCTATCGATCAATCTATTTGCGTCTTTTTTTTATCATCTATCTATCTATCTATCTATCTATCTATCTATCTATCTATCTATCTATCT